CAGCTATGGACAATGAAAGATTAACATCTTTGATTAAATCCTTAAGAGCAATCCTTAAAAAAGAAAAATTTAAAAATCTCTGCTCAAGCAGAGCAAATCAATGATTAATTTTATTAATGTGAAAGCATCATCAGGTGCGTTAATTCATGTTTCTTCAAAAAATGACCCCCGGGGGTCGACAAAATCTCAACATACGAGTATGGAAAATAAATATTTCAAAAATGTTTTTTTCAAGAACAGCAAAGCTTTTAGCTATATTTATATGGAAGCATCCTCGTATAGTGTAGATTCATGTTTGCTCAAGGAAAGTTCAAACTTATCGAAAAAAGTCACAGTGAGTCAAATATTCATATAAGTGTCCTTAGTTAGTGTAGTTTCAAGTTTGTTCAAATCATACCACCCCCACCGTTAGGAAAAGGTCGGGACCACTAATGCATTTAAGATTTTTCAATACGGAACTGATTTTTGGGTTTTTGTAGCCACTGTGCTTAGCTTAGCTATGTAGCTATGTAGCGTCTGGGCCTCTTGCCTAGTCTTATTGTTAACTATTGCTAAACTATGATATACACTTATTCCCTGCATATATTGGGTTTACATCTTATTGAATTTGATAATTCAGAAAAAAATCAATGAAAGGAATTCCAAATTCAATATTTGAATGAAAGTCCAATTAAATCTTTAAATATTATATTAAAAGTTTTATCAAATGTAAGAATAATATACAAATAAAAGTAAGTGCAACAGTAAAGAAAAGAAAGCAATTATTTTATTTTCATTAAACTGATACGAATTTATTGATTAAAAACTCTGAAAGAATAATCCTGCTTAGGATTGTCATTTTTTTTTTGCCTTATTCAAGTTCATACTGGTGAATGAAAAAGGAAAAGATAGCGAACATTGATCAATCTCATAAAAACTTCAATCAACACAAAACACAGGACATAAGCAGGGACACTGGTAAGATTTAACAGCTGGATCTCTTTTCCCCATTGGTTAACTTTTAACCATTGGTTAAATTATGTTGCTCAAAATATATCCATTGGTTAACTTTGCCATCTAATGGTTAAATATTGGTAAAGTTAGTCATTCCACAGAGGTGAGTTACGTGTCTTTAACCAGTGGATAATCATGACTAACAAATTATCATTTGTTGCACATTTTGAATTGGATTATAACAAAAAACAAAGGTTTATAGTATATTGTAATCAAACTTTTAATGTTGATGAATACTGCTGTCATTTATAAGTCAAGTTGAAGTGGCTTTGTAGAATATTAGCATATTGGGCATGGAACGCAACACTGTCAGATAAACATCGTCAGCAGAAATGTTTTAAATGGGTTCTTTCAAGGATAAATTTGTTAAATTCCATATCCACTGGCCACCCAATCACTGGTCAAATATTTGTTGCTCAAAATAAAATAAGCCAGTGGTTAGTATCCCACAATGCATTACATCTGTCCAGTTGTCAACCAAAACAAAATGGCTACCATAGTAAATATCAAATGAGACAAATAAATAGTGAGAAGTTTTAATGTTAAAACCATATCCGAGAAGTGGAGAAATACTGTAAAAGTTATCAAAACTAAACAAACGCTTTAGTCACAAAAAAGTGAGGAAAGCACAAGTCTGTATACTAGCCTGGTGACCGGTCACACCAGCCGTGAATCTTAAGGTTCATCAGATAGACGGAGCATTTTGTTGTCAATTTAAGTGTAAAAAAAGGTCTAAAAATTTGTATTAAACGAGTCAGCCAAAATAGACCTACTTGAAAGGTAATCTACCAAAAATCCTCATTACAATACCCATAGAAGCTACGAAATGCAAACTTTTAACAAGGTTGTTTAAATCCCTGCAACATTTATTTATGTATAAGCAGTCTGCCTCAGTCAGATGCTCTTCAGTAGGGAATATATGAGAATACATAATCACTATATGCAGGTGATCGCAGCATATTACTACATAAATAAGGAAAGTTGACGGTGGAAAAAGTGAAGTCATTTAGTTTGTCATACAATCTAGTTGTAAGATGACGTCTTTGTCGTCTTTAGTCAGCAGAACATCCGTATCATGACCAGATGTGACAGATTCAGTTGTGTCTTTTATTTTGAAATTCACTAGGATAAATCAAGTCGATGTATAAAAAGAAATAGCTATGTCAAAGGAGACATTTTCTGTCAGAGCAAGTTTTAACCCTACCCACACCGTTTCATTTATATAATGGTTTGTAAAGTCTGGTTCTTCCTCGCATAGTTTTTAGCTTCCCGAGTGATATAGGTAGCTAAGGTAGGATCATTAAATACTTTGGGCATTCTTTTAATGGCGTGAATAATTGGCCGGTTCCTTTTAAAAATACTGAATAGGTTCTTTAAGCCTATGTGGCGCTTGCCTACTAGAAGAACCCGTAAGGACAGTAGTGGATACAAAATTTGCGGATGGACGTTTTTGTTGCTCACAAAAGCATGCACTAAACGTAGTTTTAATCATCCAAAAAGTAGTCTCATTGGTTTACTGATTGTATTTATATGCATGATCATTTTGTTAGCTTGAAATACATGTAGGACATCACATGACAAAAAAGCTGTTCATGCATGAAATTCTCTAACTAACGTTTCTTAGGCAAGGGGTACTAATCTTAATCACTTACAAGTTTACTACTGACTATGTATAGAAATATTGAATAGCTAAGCGTAGCCGAGCCTTCTTTGAGATTGATCTACCTGCCTCAGTACACAATCATTAATAAGTCATTTATTTTCTCGAAGATCAAAGTGTGAGAGATGCAAAAATGACTAATGACGACGTTAATCAAAGGGGAGGGAGGGATGCCACACCATTGGCAAAAACAACATCACCAACAAATTATTTGGTTATACTCTTATAAATAGCTTTCTATATATTTATTACTAATAAAGATCAACAAAAGAAATGTTTATTCCATCGGTCTAGCATTATCACTGTTGACTGGCCTGTCAGTCCAACATAGAATTGTTAGAACGCGAAGTCTCTGTTACGTCAAAAGTAATTAATTATCGTTCAATATCGGCGACACAGAAAAAGTCGAAGTTAAGAGCTGCAAGAGAGTTGCTACCAGCTAGGTAAAGAAGAAGGGAAGAGTATGTTTTGTGATTAATAATTTTTGTGATATAATTAGTTTTGTTCTTTCTCAGCTATTGTTTTATATTTACTGATTTAGCCATGATTTTCCATATAAAGTAATTGATAATAAGATGTGTTGATTAAAGTGGTTAAGTGAGCAATGAAGGGTATAACAAAACAGCTATAGACTGGGATTCGGGCAACATATGAATTGTTGGACCCCGAAGATGAAAATTTTGCCCTTTGCCTGCGGCCTCGGGCAACATTTTCACATTCAGACCCAACAAATCATATGTTGCCCTCATACCCAGTCAATAACTGTATATTATTACATTAGCATAAAAATACTCGGGATGGCAGTAAATCTAAAATGATTGTACACATCTGCATTTAATTCTGCTTAGTGTCCCAACCTCTCGACTTTTGCTGAATTATGCCAATATTTTTTATCAGTCGGTATGCATAACTCAAGATGCAATCACAGATCACAAAGGTTCGAAAGTATACATCGCTCGATTTTTTTTGTTGTACATATCTTGGGTGATATATTGAATGTTAATTACATTTATCGGCATTCCCAATGGGATAAAAAGAAACTTCAAAATATCTAAGGATTCGCAATGTGGAGGATAAAATGCCTAAAGAATACGTTATTAAGATTCTAATCATTCGAAATACCCATGATGTTCAATATATCCATGTTCAAGATACAGGCACTAGATTCTATTTCAGATTATTTTTTAAATGAGACGTCATTTGTATATAGTGAATGAATTTGATAGATGACCAAAATTGATTCAGAAAAAAATGTTCACTTCAGAATGCGAATAAGTTTCAACATGGACTTTGACATTTAATCAATGACATTGTAAGAAAACTTAAGGTTGTGTGAATCAGATGTGGATGCTCAAAAATTTGAAGGAACTTTTGGACAATTTGAAATCACAGAATCACAAGCTGCTTTTTCAATAAAAACGGAACTAGTGAATTTACTTACCTGGTCATTGGTCATTAGCAAAATTATTTTGTTAAAACACACTCTGATTGCACATACAAGTACTCTGAAGTCGACATCAGAAAGATGTTTGAGTTTCCGATTGACAATATCCAACAATCTATTGGAATTCCCATGGGTATCATTTGCGCCCCGTTATAGACAGACCTATTTTGATATTCATATGAAGCATAATTTGTCCAAAAGCTAATGCGTGAAAAGAAGAAAATATTTGATGTTGCCTTAAACTCGACATTACGTATATCGACGACGTGTTGTCAATCAACAAAGGTAATTGCTATTTGACAGTGATCACAGTTTGTTATCTTTATTTTTTATATTTAAACAATACATTGGACCTGGTCAATACAGTGGGTGTGACCAGTCAATAGTGTATGCTTGTTTCTTCTAGGCACATGATCCCACCTCTGAAATTCTCAGTGGTCCGTGTTTATGTCTTAAGGACAGATGATACAAACGAAAAATGGATGCATGGATTGGTGTATATTGGTGTATTGCAAATGATGCAAATAATAAATTTCTAGAATATAAAGAAACTGTAAACCTTCTGTGGTGTTCAAAAGTCTCCCGCCTGAAACCATCCTTTTTAATCTTTACAAATATTTTTCACTTCAAATTCCATTTTTGTGCAACTGTGGATAAAAAATTAAAAACTACGCGGTGAAACTTATTTATTTTACTCATTTAAACGTGACCCAAATTGTTATTTTCAAATTCTTTGACAGAAATTTGTTTGTATCATCTGTCCTTAATTACGTATTTGTTATTGTTTATGCTTTGTTGAGATATATCAGTGTTCGTTTATGCATATTCGCCCGTTATGCAAATTATCCCATGTTTCCCACTATCGTTGATGCCCTGGCATACTATACTTATTAGACAGTGATTCTTTAAGTATATACGTAAGCTTCTTTTCTATTCATTTATTGACTTTATTTTAGAAAACATGTACATTTTTAAACCACGGGGCATTTGGGGCTGTTCTTAAAGAGACTTTGGATTACGCACAGGTACACAATATAGTTTTATTTATGAATTTTCAATCTAAAGTTGAAAAGACTACATAAAAAAATTATCTTAAAATTGAAAATCAATAAACGACACTAGGGTTGGCGTTTGCATTTTATGCCACGAAATAAATTATTAACATAATCAAATCATTTTTCTCGTAATTCCTTTAGATTTTAAGGAAATCTGTTTCCAAATCAGTCATGATTTTGTTCCAGAAATGGCAAAGATACACAGAAAAACAACCATTGAGATTTTTTGATCGGGAGCTATTGCCTCATTTGGTTTATGTTACAAGGCGACTAGCAAAGTTTGTCGGTATGTACTCCAATTCATGATAATTTTGAATTAATACTTATTAATAAAAAAATCTCCCTGATCTTGTTTTAATAAAAGTGATAGACGTGAGAAAACTGCATGAGCCTGACATCTGTTTCTTAACACTTCTTCCAAATTGCCCTGTTACTGATGTTTATTCATTTGATACGACAATATGCAATTTGCTACTAAAAAACCAATAAGAATAGCAAGTGATTATCATTTAAGCTCTAAGACATACTTCATTATTGGCAGTGTATAGCAGATTAGGAGAAATTGAACACCAGAGTTTATCACTCCGGATCCTTTATCATTTAATTATGTGTATCACTGTCACGATTAAAAAAATATTGAAAAAATAAAATTAACAAGTTTAATTCACCATCACGTTTATCTGTGATATTTTTTATTATCTGAAAAGTTGAAAGAAAATTAAAGGACTTGAAAATGCTACAATGAATATTTGGGAGAAAAATCAAGAAACGAATAGAATGGAGAGAAGTATCATTTTTCTAGCTCCACGCAGCACAGTGATAATGGCCATCAACAGATTTAGTTGCAATAATTTAGATTGATTAATGATATATAGTTTACTTTTTATATTTAGTAAGCAATTAAAAAAACAGAACATTTTAAACCCTGTGTCGGATCTACTAATAAATTGATACAAGGAAACTCCTATTAGACTTAAAATCCACGTAATAGAAATTGTGAATTTTGCTAGATCTTTTCATTCTGATTATGTATTTTACTAAATTGATTCTAGTCAGTACAAAACGTTAGCAAATGACTTTGCATCTAGAGAAACAAAGTCTACTCGTACATGTACTAGTTTGTCCACATCAAATGACAATGAATGAATTGATTTATTTTAATTTGATTAGTTATAATTCGATAAATTTCCTCTTAACTTGGTTTTTAAACGGATTGTTTGAAATTTTAATTTTTAGGTTGTGAGCCTAAGGATCTTTTGTTGATTAATAATGTCACTACAGCTATAAATACCGTTGTTCACAATATTCCGATAGAAAAGGGGGACATCATATACTGTCTCAATACAACCTATGGTAAGATCAGATATATATACGAGGGTTGTCCCAAAATTCCGTAGACAAGCGTTGTTTTGTAGGAACCCTACGTCACACATGAATGAAACTTCGTATATAGGTTAAACCAACACCATCTAATAAATTTATGGACAAATATGGAGTAACTACACAAATTATTCCAATTTAAGACACATTTCATTGGCTGGTGTAGGAAGGCGGCGCAAACCCAAAGGTTGCAATTAAAATTTGGTATATTATATTTAAAATCCTACGGAAAAGTAATTACTACCCCATATTTTATTTAATGGAAATGAAAATTCTTAATATTCTTTTATAAACTATATTTCCTCAAATTTTGGTGTGTATGCTTTGATAAATATGAATTTTATAACGTTTTATATACATAGGGTTAAAATCGAATTTTTTAAAAATGGCGGCTGCGTTGGGCCAGGCGGTGCACTGGACTATGATCAAGTGTTTTGATCCTTAATTCACTCTTACAAAAATGTACCAGTCATAAATGTTTGGTAGACTAAGAAGCTTTTTCTCCTCCTTAGTTTTTAAAATGACTAAAACGGTTTCTCTATGTATATTTCAATAACAGTAATTAAAATAAAAGACAGGGCTAAGAAGTGGGCAAAAGTTCCATTGTGCAAATCCATTAGAGAAAATAGACAAAAAGCCCGTAGAAATATAGCGTTTTCAAATTATTATTATTTCATACCTGTACATGCATATACTTTGTTTACATATTTTTATGTTTGATCATATCATAGTAATTAAGATATTTTACATTTATAACTATAACCGTTTCGTTTAATTTAAGAATTTGATTCTGGTAATTGAAATATTTTCTTCAAAAATTTGGACCGTTGACATATGTATTTTTTGACGTTGCAGATTGCTTCGGGTGTTAGAGAACTATATCACTTTAAATGTTATTACTCAAAAAGTTTTCAAGTAAACATGATAAAACTTCGTAATTTATCTGCCAAGAACATGCTGTATCAACCCTGAAAATTTTATAAAGATACATTAATGTCCTCTCGTGATTTCTACTTCATTCAATCTTCTTAGTGTATTATTTGTCATTAATGAAGCAAGTACTACATGTAGGAACAGGGTGGTGTTGATACAGCAGCCTGAAAATAAATGAAAATACAGATTCACAAATTGACATGGGTTTAAGGTAAGATAGACATGATATAAGCATTGAACATTTTTAATTTTTGGTAGTATTTGAATGTACTTTATGTACTTTAATTTGATGACAGTTTTATCTTTCTCGTCCGGAAGGCCAGTGACTTTTACTTCGCATGTCCGGCGCTTCAACGGAAGTCACCACCTATATTTAAGTGTTAGGTATGGTTCAACAAGACATACTAGATCAAATGGACCTCCCTTTCGGTTCATCTCATGTAGAAATATTTTTGAAAATAGAATTCTATTTCTTATTTATTCAAAAAAATCCGCTTATCATGAAGTGCAATTGTACCCATGAGGTTACAACAGATTGTTAGAAGGCAATTATTTTAAAAAACGCACATGGATAGCCTACCTTAACCCTTTCTCTTCCGGCGCATTTCACCTGATTTTGGAGGCCTTTTGATACGGCATTATTAAATTATTTCTAACTTTTTTATCCAAGGGAAAAGCTAGGCATAATGCATACCATTTTGTAGGAAATTTCTTACAGACGATATTTTATGACTGTTTAGATACTCAACCACTGACCTTATTAGTAAAAATTGAGGTCAAAGGTCAATTAAGTGCAAAATTTTATGGAATTTTTTGATACTTTTTCATCTTTAAGCTAAATATTAAGTATGATGTATGTTGAAATAGGAAATTTGGGATATACCCACAAAAGAGCATTATACTGTACTACATGAAACACATAAACTTTTTTTTCAATTCTGCATATAACTACTTAAAAGGGGTTGCTAAGCAGCGCAGAATTCTTTAATTTTCGGGCAGAAATTTTCATTTTTTACTCATCCTAGACACATTTATGCATCCCAGTACATATAAAAGTTAGATGTGAGGTCATAAAATTATAAGGGACATACAACAGATAAATTGTCTTAAAGTTTGACCTCATTAGAACTTTTTTTAGGAGGTCAAAGGTCAAATAAGTGCAAAAGTTTCATCAATTTTTTTCAACACTTTTCAATATTCTAGCCATAATTTTACACAATGGATGCTGAAATGGAAAATTCTGAATATACTCTCAAGAAGGGATCAGAACTGCAATATCCATGCATCATTTTATTTCAAATATCTGTTTAATGACCTTTAAGTGGTTGCTAAGCAACATCATTTTAAAGTTTTTGGCTATATACATCATTGTTTGTTATTTCATATTCTGGACAAATTCTAGACACTTTTTGTATATTTCATGATATTGTTTGTAAGATATGGGCCATAAAGATGAAAGAACATTTTTGTATTAAAAATTGACCTTGACACTCTTGTTCTTCAGAAGGTCAAGGTCATATCAGTACAGAATTCTGCTTTAAACTGTAAGTAAATATCAATTTTGAAATGCTTCAAACATGGATAAATCATCTAATAGTAGACGTAATAAAAATGGCGAATGACAAAGTTTGCAAGCAGGAATTCTGGTCTGCTTCTTATAAAGCCCTAGCAAAACATGTATACTATCTTTTTGTTAAACAAGAAATCCATTCTCTTGATGACATTAAAAATAATCTTTATTTTCATGGATTTAATTTAACAAGAAAAAAAAATAAATGATTTCATTACAAGATTTTTCTGGTATAACAGAGCTTAAGGGGTACAATAAAGACTTGACATGTTATCTTGGAGGGAAATAATAATAATAGATAGCATTGGCAATATCAAATGCAAAACTGTTTAGTCAATAAGTTGAAAATTTGTCGCTTATATCCAAATATACAAATACAGAAATATTGCAAGATGAATTCCAAATCAGACTGAAATCTTCAACAAAATGTTGAAGAGCACTTTTACTTTGTGTCCACCATTCTTTTATCAACTGTCATTTCTCTGTAAGACCGGAGGAAATTCTTTGACTTGTCCAAGACATTATTATTTGCTGTCAAGTACAAGTGATGAGCTTCTATCCTGTAAAAGATTTTAGTATTTTGAAACAGATACATGTCATTGTGTATATAAATTTATATTTATAAATAAAATTAAGAATGCTAAAATTACTACATTTATTTGATTTTCCTTTTAAAATTAAAATTGTATTCATTATGTGATCCAAGTAGTTAAATGATATTGTTAAGTCAATGTTTGTAGGACTGATAATTCAAAAACCTTGTAGTAAACCACCATGGTAAAATTACTGAACTAAAACAAATAGCATATATGGCAATCTGACTAAAGCCAGACCTCTGTTTACGCTATCGCAACATGTAAAAAAAATCTGGCATAAGATTGCTACAAAGCCAGGAAGGGACACGTAAATTTTTCAAAAAAGTAAAAGATGATATCGAATCGAATTAGACAATCTAATCCCACGGATTACTAAATTGTTCCCTCGATTTATAATATGAGATCTCGAATTACACAATCCGATCTTAAGGATTACTAATTCGCCCCCTTGATTCATAATTTGAGATCTCGAATTACATACCGGTAATTTGTTTTCACAGATTGATAATTCAACATCTTGATTTGTTACAACATCAGTCTTATGATTTTGGAAATCTGTGCTCTTGAATTTCATTACATATATGTACAGAAACATCCAACCATTTTAATCAATAAGTGCGTTCTATTTATTTTGTTTCAGCAACCGGTCGTTTCTAACCTCTTTCATAACTAATTCAACGTATATTTATTTTAGAAATATTATGATTACACAGGACCCATATTCACTTTTACTATCTAGGACTTTCAATTATTCTTATATACAAGTAACACAAAAACTTCTAAGATTTTTTGTTGTACAAATATCAGTACTAGCACATGGATTTGAAAATGTTCATGTATTTTTCTCATTTTGAACCGTAATATGTAATAAAAGTTAGGATGTAAAATACTTCAATATTCTATTTTTAAAACATGTATTACCATATCCGATATGTACAGATAAATAATTTAAACGAAATCATGGGAAGGGTTTACATTCCGAGGGAATGAATCTTTTAAACTAAAAGAATGAATTATACAATCTGAGGTAACGGACTGTGTAATTTGAGGGAACGAATTGGTAATCTGTGAGAATGAATTGGCAATTTGTCAAACAGATTGTCAATCCGAGAGAAGGGATTGTATAAATCAAGAACTTGGTTTACTTTTATAAATTTTAAAAATTCTATGTCCCTTCATGGCTTTCATAGATTTCATACCTGCATGGCTGCCAGGGTTGTAAAAAGAAAGGAGACAATAGACTGCAATGTCACTTCAGGGCAAAATTCCTGGCGCAAGGCTGTTCGTGAGCATGGGAGTGTTGATAAACCATCCAGTGAGTTTGACCACCCATGTATATGATGTAGGATAATTGAAAAGTGTCTGAAAAATTGAGAAAATGGAAATTCTAACCACATACTTCATGCAGATTGGAACTTACAACAGCAGTCTATAAAAACAGTTTGTTCCATATCTCAGCATTCATTCAGATAGATATTACATGTTTAAATAATGTGTTTGTATGAATAATCAAGCATCATAAGTATTATGTGTTTTGAACACTTATTTTTCAAAATATTAATCAAATGTGTATAAACTTGTATGAATGCGATATCATGAGAATGACACAAATGAAATTAGACTTTATTTTTTTAAATTTTAGAAATACAGAAATTTTCAATACCAAAACAAAAATTTACCTGTTCATTGGTGTCCTTACATATTAATTAACCTTCGTAGTTCATGGTGGGCTTAGAAAGTGGGTATTCACAGATGAAAGTATTGTTGTAATGCTGAAAGCACCCTAAAATTTCGATGTGAAAGTGGTAGTCATGTACACCTGTACACACTGGTACATAGATACTGCAAACAACTATCCATTATTATGAAAACTTTG